CCTCGCTCGACACTGCGACTTGGTTCGCCGAACTCTGTTGATGACTATCTCAACCAGCGGCCAGTCACCTTGTTTAGCTCACTTTTGTCCCTCTCCCTCGCCCCTGGTATCTTTCTGCCCCTCGCCGCTACTGGTCCTGTTGAAAGGTGTGATAAGTTCGTCATCTTGCTAGTCCCTCACTAATGCTGCATTAGATTGAGTTGTGGCGCAGATGGGGGATTTAGAACATGCCCTCTCTGCTTATGAGGACGCTTTGTGACGGATCCTATTCTTCTCATCGGGGCCGATGCTTGTTGCATGGCTCGTCTCAAGTAAATCTATCCCAAGGGCCAAGGTGAAGTTTTCTCTCCTTAAATTGCAAACAACCGAGCATGGCTTTTGACAGGTGTGATATTTTCGTCCTCTGCTAGTCCCTGTACTGCATTGGGGGATTTAGAACATCCGCTCTCCGCTTACGATAATGCTTGGTGACGCAACCCAATTGCTGGCATTGCTCGTCTCAAGGAGAATTATTCCAAGGTGAAGGTTTCTCTCCTTACATTGCAAACAGCCCAACATGGCTTTTGATAGGCGTGATAATCTCGTCATCTGGCTAGCATCTCACTATGGCTGTGCCCCAATTGCTGGCATTGCTCGTCTCAAGGAAATTTAACCCAAGGTGTAGTTTTCTCTCCTTACATTGCAAACCGAGCATGCTTTTGACAGGTGTGATATTTTCGTCCTCTGCTAGTCCCTGTGCTGCATTGGGGGATTTAGAACATCCGCTCTCTGCCTACGAAAATGCTTGGTGATGCAACCCAATTGCTGGCTTTGCTCTTATCTCAAGGTGAAGTTTTCTCGCCTTATATTGCAAACAAGCAAACATGGCTTGAGACAGGTGTGATAATTTCGTCATCTGGCTAGTCCCTCCTCACTAATGGCATGCTATGCTGCATTGGGTTGAGTTGCTGAGCAGATGGGGGATTTAGAACATGCCCTCTTGCTTTCCACAACCCAATCTTCTATGGATGGCCTTTGATGCCGAACCAACGGTGCTGCGCCTCTGCGGATAAGAACCTCCAAAAACCGTTTGATGCAAGTTTTCTTCGATCCAATCTGACAGGTGCCATAATTTTGTTTCACCATTCACATCAGGTCGTAACACAAGTGGGCGCAGGCACACAGCTGGGCGCCGATGCCAACAACACGGCGCAGATATCATCAGGTCGTAACACAAGTGGGCATAGGTATTGACGAACAGTCAGCTTTTAACCTTTTCGTAACCCCCGGACTTCATTTGTCTGTGCAACATATGAATGATCATGCGTTTTTATGTGCGCCATACCTTTTATGCAATTGCGCCCAATTATTTGTTTGACAGATGCCCTGCATTTTGATGTGCCCTGCATCAAGGGTGCATTATGCAGGCAGCCATGTGCTGATGGTGCCTGTGCCACGTGTTCGGCGCATGGCAATTGCCTCACCGTCCTTACTTTGACCATTACTTTGCCTCATAAACACATCCACTAGTCACCATGCATAGATACCAATCCAAACGGCCTCCTGGACCTGTATTCTATACAGTGAAATACGAGAAGACAACCAGGGGATATGTCCAGAAGATCAAATACTTTACTCCTGATTCCCTGTTGCATGCACCGTCAGCGCCAGCTCAGCATAGCCAGCAAGCCCAATTCGATCACGATGTAGACACAATGGTCATTGATGAGTTTGCTGTCCCTTTTCACCAGAGAACGTCAGGCAAGGTGGGTGGATCTCTCTGTTCTTTCCAACTTCTGCTTATCAGTGATCCCAGAGCCAGAACGATTATCTGAGAGAATGGGTTGCCCGCAGGGACAAGCATCTTGAGGTAACTCTTGTCACAGAGGCCCCACCTCCTGGGATGGTCTGTGTAGATTGCGGCAAAATGGCATCCAAGTTCCGATGCCTCGATTGCGCCTTGCAGCCTGTATATTGTCGCGCCTGTTGCCGCCAGACTCATAGGAGGCTTCATACCCATCGGGTCCAATACTGGAATGGCCGCTATTTCCGTACCGCCGGTCTCTGGGAGACAGGCTTGGTGTTGAATTTGGGCCATAATGGATCCCCTTGTCCCAACTTTGCGGAGTTCGAGGAACAAGAAAATGAGAGGCAGGATGCAAGTTGTGAGGCTGCAGAAGCCGCAGGACCAGCGGCGCCCACCAGCCCTGTTGGCCAAACATGGGCGGCGCCCGAAACATGGGCGGCGCCCGCACCCATCCCAATTGATCTTGATATTCGAGTTCAAGCAGTGTCTGATGACCTTCTCGGGGAAGATGAGTCCATGGAGGCTGATGCAGATGTCGGCGATGATGGCGAAGACATCGAGACTGAACCATCCGATCAGGATGGAGACAATGGCGCGACCGAAGAAGAAGCTGACAACAACACTCAGGAACACTACAAAAGAACAAAGGGTTTCGGTACAGCTCCTCAACCTGACACAGAGGATTCTCTGGGCAACCCCTTTGTGCTTGTCATTGAAACAAACGGAATTCACCATCTTCCTTTGCATTTATGCACCTGTCCAGGAGCTGCGCCCACCGATGAGCAGCTGTTGACTTCACAGTTATTTCCAACAAGCTTTCAAAATGTTAAAACACTGTTCACTTTCAAGGTACTGGATGATTTTCGGTTGTCCAATCTTACCTGCAAAACTTCCGCATATCAATACTATCTCAAGCTGCGGCGCCTGACTTCTCCGGCTTTCCCCAAGTCGGTTCCGGTACACATTGCTTTGGTTGATATACTTGAATGTTGTCTCACCCATCACCCCAGGACAGGTATCGCGAATTCAGAAGAGTTAGTCGGCAATGGCGCAATTTGGAACTTAAAAAATGCTTTGGTTTTGGACATGAGCCTAGAATGCCGAAGGCTGGAGAGATGGCATATGGTTGTGCATCTTGCGCCCAGCCAGGTGTTAACTTGCCAATGAACTGGAAAGAGGACCCACATCCGTAAGCATGAACTGCCCTTTGTTCACATACTCATTCCCATTGGCAGCGAGGTCTTCACACGATTTCTTTGTGTTGATGGTAACTTCTCAGCTGATCACCTGAAGCAACGAAATGCCATGGACGATGTATGGCTGACCAGTGGGGAAGGAATGATGACAGAGAAGGAGGCTTACAAGAAGTACCTGGCGCAGCCCACTGTTACTCGCCAGGTGAGTTGGACCGCCTTCCCATATGTGGCGCATCCCAGTTCCGCCGCCCGAGGTTGCTGCGCCATGTAGCCATGTAGCATTTGATGCTTTTGGGCGCAGAATCCTACTGCGCCCACTGCCCCTTTCAAAACCTGACTCATTTGGTTGTAGGTCAAATCAACATGCAGCAACCACCAGGCCATCAACAATGCAAGTCAGAATCACGCAGGCTGTGATGCAACTGGCATTGCGGCATTTGCCTGCCCCCGATCAGGCGCCTTCATTCCAGGCAGCGTTGTTGACTTTCAGAAGGGCGAGCGCCAGCTGAACATCGACTATGCTCTTTGTGAGGCGCTGAAGAACATGGGACTGAATGGTTTGGACGATATCATGATCATATATGACGTGATGTGTCAGTATCATGTTAATCTCTGGGACAGGATTGCTAACAATCCAAATCTTTCCATCTCTGAGAAGGCTAATTTGATCATGGGAATTGGTTTATTTCATGTCCATGGTCATCAGGATGAGTGCCTCTTCCGGTTGGCGACGTCATTTATTCCCGGAGCTGGAATGGTAGATGGGGAAATATTGGAAAGCCTTTGGGCGCAGCTCAATGATATCTCGAGGAGTACCCGCACGGCCACCCTCGCCCATCGGGCCGAGGTCTTGGACGACCATATGAATGACAGCAACTGGAATAAAATGGTCAACATTGTCTCCTCAGTCATTGCCAAGTACAGGAAGGCTGTCGTTGGT